AAGTTCTTTAAATTATTTCTTATGTAATATCATAGGTTTCAAAGGTTCTAGATATTCTAGAATTCTTTGATATTTTTGGGCTTTTGTCACAATTGAACGAGATGAAGAAAAAAATTGTTTACGGCGCAATTGTATACTAAAGTTATGAAAATTCAGTATTTTTCAGAAGATAGAATTGATCCGTTTGGTCTTTGATTTCTTTGTTCATATCCTCGTAATTAAGGTTTGCAGTTTTTCCTTCCCTTGCAAATGGGACACGTTATTTAACAAGCTGTCACTTTATACGAATTACACAAGGGAACGGAATATTTGTCCTGCCCTCTAATTTCCCTGAAACGTTTCTGCTGAAAGTAGGTGCGTTTGCCATGCTCCGAAATATACTAAAAGCGTAAAAATTTAAGAGACAGAAATATTGTATCAAATCAAAAAAAAAAGCGCAGAAAATTAAATCCTTTACTGTTCGCAATTTTTTTCTATTTCCGAAGGAGATTTTTTCGAATTGAACAATTTTAATAGTTTTGTTGAAACCTGGAGAATATAATTACGTGAGTAAAAATGTATTCCTTTCGTTCGATCTTGTTCCAAAATTTACAGCAATTTACCGTGGAACTGATCATTCGATTAAATGTCTCATTTAATCATCGAAATTTGAGTATGACTGGAATAGCTCAACGTGTGCTCCATTAAAACGTGTGCTGCCCGAATAATTACCAGGGCCGTTCGGATTCTGGGTCGAATCTCTAAGTTCAGGGCTCGTACGCTGATACGTCGAAAAGCTGTTGGAGCACGCCGAGCGCGAAATCATAAGAGGAATAAAAGATCTCCGGTGACATGTATGATCAGTCTTTTGTCGGAGTCAAGTTCACCGCTAAAAATCTCCGACAATTTCCGATAAGGCTAAGATTCGTTCCGCCGTGGCTCGAGTTGGCGATTTTCCAGACTGCTGCGATTGAACATGTCAGTAATGCAGAAATTGGAGAACAGCTCTGCGGGGGGGACGCCTGAAGAGGCAAG